CTCTTGTGGGACACTCTTGTAGGACACTCTTGTGGGACACTCTTGTGAAACACTCTTGTAGAACACTCTTGTGGGTCACTTGCAGGACACTCTTGTGGGACACTCTTCCACGACACTCTTGTAGGACACTCTTGTGGGACACTCTTGTAGGACACTCTTGTAGGACACTCTTGTCGGAAACTCTTGTGGGACACTCTTGTGGGACACTCTAGGACACTCTTGTGGGACACTCTTGTGGGACACTCTTGTAGGCCACTCCTGTACGACACTCTTGTAGGACACTCTTGTGGGACACTCTGCGGGACACTCTTGTGGGACACTCTTGTGGGACACTCTTGTGGGACACTCTTGTGGGACACTCTTGTAGGACACTCTTGTGGGATACTCCTGTAGGACACTCTTGTGGGACACTCTTATAGGACACTCTTGTGGGACACTCTAGTGGGACACTCTTGTAGGACACTCTTGTGGGACACTCTTGTGGGACACTCTTGCGGGACACTCTTGTGGGACACTCTTGTGGGTCACTTGCAGGACACTCTTGTGGGACACTCTTAGGAAACTCTTGTGGGACACTCTTCTAGGACACTCTTGTGGGACACTCTTGTGGGACACTCTTGTGGGACACTCTTGTGGGATACTCTTGTCGGACACTCTTGAGGGACACTCTTAAGGGACACTCTTGTGAGACACTCTTGAGCGACACTGTTGCGGGACACTCTTGTGGGACACTCTTGTGGCACACTCTTGTGGGACACTCTTGTAGAACACTCTTGTGGGACAGTCTTGTAGGAGACTCTTGTGGGACACTCTTGTGGGAAAATGTGTGGGACACCCTTGTGGGACACTCTTGTAGGATACTCTTGTGGGACAGTCTTGTAGGACACTCTTGTGGGACACTCTTGTGGGACACTTTTGTAGGACACTCTTGTGGGATAATCCTGTAGGACACTCTTAAGGGACACTCTTGTGAGACACTCTAGTGGGACACTGTTGCGGGACACTCTTGTGGGACTCTCTTCCAGCTCCCCAGATACTCCGCGTACTAAAGTTGTACTACAAGGTCGCCAGTTCTCAGCTTCCAGCTCCCCAGATACTCCACGTACTACAGTTGTACTACAAGGTCGCCAGTTCTCAGCTTCCAGCTCCACAGATTGCTCCGCGTACTCAAGTTGTACTACAAAGTCGCCAGTTCTCAGCTTCCAGCTCCACAGATTGCTCCGCGTACTAAAGTTGTACTACCAAGTCACCAGTTCTCATCTTCCAGCTCCCCAGATACCCCGCGTACTAAAGTTGTACTACAAAGTCGCCGGTGCTCGCCTGCATTTCGCGCGCTCGACACGCACGATCTCCGCAGAGGGTTGCGCGGGCACCGGACAAATCGCACTCTCGCCTGCATTTCGCGCACTCGACACGCACGATCTCCGCAAAGGTTGCGCGCGCATGGGACAAATCGCACTCTCGCCTGCATTTCGCGCACTTGACACGCACGATCTCCGCAGAGGGTTGCGCGCGCATGGGACAAATCGCACTCTCGCCTGCATTTCGCACACTCGACACGCACGATCTCCGCAGAGGGTTGCGCGTCAAGTCTCCAAAACGAGCGTTTCGTGCGAGACTTCCTCAAAAACTCACACGTCAAAGTCTGCAAAACGAGCGTTTCGTACGAGACTTCCTCCAAAAGTCAAGCGGAAACACCCATCGGAGCACACACATCACGCAGCCCTGCCAAGCAGTTTCGCGATTCCAGCCCCTCCAAACAACATCCGCTCACACACCAATCCCAATGGGACAGCGACATTCACCTCTACCACAACTCACAACCTCACGATTCCCTGCGCCTGCCACGAATCTTTCCCCATCCACACGTCTAACGCGCACAAAGTACTGCGCCTGCCACGACATGTGACCTCCGTCACACCTCGCAACCTCACGATTCCCTGCGCCTGCCACGAGAATCGCACTTCCACGCCTCAAAACCCGCACAAAGTCCTGCGCCTGCCACGAAAAGTGACAATATCATCTCCTGTGAGCTTCAACAAAATTTGCACCACACCGCACGTTTGGAATGATTTCGACCCATTCTGAGCACACTCCCATCCACCAAAATCGCCATTTCACCTGAGACTTGTCACGAAAACCGAGCTTCGATGCCACACCCTGAAGCGCAAATCCCAATGGCACGGCCACATCCAACACCCCAAAAAAACGACTCTCCAAACGCTAATCCCAATGGAACTGCGCGGCAATCTGCGGATCTCACAAAACGCTGCGCCTGTGCAGCGAAATGCATCACGTTTCATGCGCGACATGTCGTTGTCATGCAAATCACAATGGAATAGCGTCGCAAACTGACACGTGATACGTCCATGCAAAGTCACTTGCAAAAGCTTCCCCCAATGGCAGCAAATTTGAGACGCGACGACGACGACAAACGACGACAAACGACGACAAACGACGAGAGACGACGACAGACGACGACAGACGACGACACGACGCAAGCCACGCGAACACAGCTCCAACCCCCAGACCCCCAACTATAAACGGGAACCCTTCGCTACGCATTCGGGAAAAAACTACATTTCCAGTGGTTGCCTGTCGTCGCAAGTCTTAAGACTAGCTTGTCATACCGGAAAACTCTAGTACAACACCCCACTCCCGCCTAGCTCAAAGCGTTGCACCCGGCCCATAGGGCAGTCCAAGACCAGCAAAGCTCCATCCCTGGCTTGTTAGCTGTTTGAAGCTACAAAACGCTGCAGGGAACTCTGCATTCACGCCACTTAAATTTGCGAGAGCAGGACGAGTCCAGAACAATGTCTATGGGGTTCTTCAACAAGACTCCCTCGCCATCTGGAAGAGACAAAGGCTTGTCAATGTCCTGAAGTGCATGCGATGTCTTGCCGATGTCAAGTTCTGCTAGCAGAACATCATTAAGTTTGTGTGGGTTCAACACGCAAAATGCCACGCGCAATCTTCAATTGCACCCGAATGGCACCTGCCAGTGGCACCAACATCGTCGGTCCTTGAGGTAATCCACATCCATGAGTTGCTTCCCACGTTCACCCACAACGACTCGCCCCGCAGCATCGTCATTGTGGCCAAAGCGCACCACACTGAAGTTTGCAAAGTCAGCCACATAGAGCTGACCATCCTTGGTGAAAAATTGTTCAAGAAATCTACGAAAATGAAATCAAGATAATGTTCTGGCACTCTGTCCGTTTCATAGTGTCATAGGTCATAGGCATGCTGTCGCTGCGCAGGCCCTAAATTAAACAATCACGCATGGTAACTTCAAACATGCCTCCAACTGACGCGCCACGAAAAAATTTACTGAGTCATTGGGAAAAGAACAGGAACCACTTTGCACATCGAACGTGGTTTCAGGAACCACCACCAAACCTTATGTTTTGTCCATGGGCGCAAGGGTTATCGTCTAATCTCGTATGCAGAATCCAAAATCACGCGGCTACCACCTCTGAGTCTACAAATGATTACAAATGCATGTTCTTGGCTCCTGGCCACATCCACATGAAGCCCCCTCGGTTGGCTCAAGCAGCTCTTTTCTCCTCCGCCCACGGCTTCGACTTGGCAGTTCGCGCAATGCTTTCCACACGCGAATATGTCAATATCAAAACAGTTTCATAACGTCTGCAAACACGGCAGCTACATCAAGGGACTTGCAAATACGACACTTGACGGTACCCCGCCTGTTCCGTATTGGACTGCTTCAGCACCTTCAACTGCCAGACTGCACAAGGCCATTGGGGCCATAGTGTGTATGAAAATTGAAAGGCCTAAGTGAGGCCTGAAAAGTGAAACTCTCAAAAAGGACAGCCGCCCACGGCTTTAAAGCATCACAGCTGTGGCCTGTCGGCGCCATGGCCGACTGGGCTGAAGGTGGACGTTTGATAAAAGTGTTTGAAGGGCTAGGCTGACTTCAAAGCAATCTTTTCGGACAATTGAAAAACATCCAAATTCAGGTGGCTCTGCGACCGGGAATGGTTTCCAGGTGTCATTTCTTCCACCACTTTATCGTATGAAGGCAAGTGAACACGCTGGAGCAAGAGTTGGCACCCTCAACGGCTTCGCTCTGAACACACGTTCACCGAGACAAAGTCGCCGATTGCCGGCAGTCAAGGAATCAAGCAGTATCCCACTACCAGCTTCGCCGCTCAAAACACACCAGCCCACTTTAAGGGATCTTTTGTTCTCTTTCCTTGTTGCCCACGTTTCTTTACTGTTTGTTGCCGTTTTTCTTTACAGACCCTGTTTTTCCCAATCGGTCCTCTTTACTTGTCCGCTTAACAGCCAAAAGCGTCACAGCAAAGCGTTCCTTGTTTCTAGGTGGCCTTGAATAGTTGGCCAGACCTTCTGGTCATGAACCAGGCTGAGACCGCTGATGTGTATCTTCGCCAACTGCCGCGTACACTGTGGTCTCCTGTGATATGATGGGCCTCATCAACGGGCATGTCCTGAAGAAAAGCTGAGTACATCGTCCGGAGGATGGTTGTGGCGCATGGCTTCTTGGAGGAGAGGTTGCCCGTGGAAAAACTGCCGTTTCACGTCTCACCGCGCTGGTAGGGTCAGAGGTTCCAACAAAGGCCAAGCTCATCCAATCACAGAAGCTCTGGGGATGTAATCGGTGGAGATGGTGAAATGGGTCATGCATTGCGCGGCTCCATTCCCCTGCCCAGGTCTGACAGGCCGAGCCCTCCTGCTCACTCCCTGAATCTCAGCCAAAGCCAAAGTCTGCCTGTGGCGCATCCTGTTCTTTCAACCAGCAGAAGATCATGTCGGGGATGGATCCTAGGGCTGAAAGGCACCTGCTCCCTTGACTTGAGAGAGGAGAGACAGACGGAGAGGCGGTGACAAATTTCCACGCAAGCCAAAGTCCAAGAAGCAGCCCTGTGATGATGCCCAGAGCAAGTCCAGCAATCCAGGATAGCAGCGGGCCGGACAATATAAGGTGGATGAAAAAGAAGAGACAAGGGCCAAGCTTTCAGTGAGCACAGCGCCCCAAGACATAAAATCCCCTTGATCAGAAGGTTGAGGAGTGCACATTCTTGCTCATTCATATATAACGTATGAACAACAAACCGCAAGCGAAATGCAGGTGAAAAAAGTGTCTCACAACACTTGAAATCCACTCCTCCAAGAGTTGCTGTGCCTGCGCCTTTGTGAGGGTCCTGGTCAGAACTTCAACGAAAGAATTGTAAGCATTCCACAATGCTTTGAACACTCTGAGAAACAGCCTTTGGACACTGTCCTGGTTCTTTCTGATGTCCTGTATCCGAATGGTGGCCTGCGAACGAATAGACGGTTGAAGACTCAACAGCTATAGAAGGGCCCGAAGCTCCCTTTGAACACCTGAAGGCCCTCTCAATTCCAAGTTCTCGAGATTCCAAGAGTTCGTACCGAGGTTGTAACCAAGCTGTGGCTGTGCTGCTTCCCAGACTGATGGAGGAGCAGAAACCATTGTGCAGGGCGGACAAATCCAACTGGGGCACTGGCTTGTTGGGCGTTGGCATGTCAGGCTCTTTGGGCTCGTCTATGATAGGTTTCCCTTCCTGGGCGGAATGCTTATGACATGGAGATGATGCAAGTGGTGTGTAGATGAACATTGCAGTGGCCTAGACCACCTTTAGTTGGAGACACAGCGACCTCATTGCAAACTTCTGTGATCTAAGCTTGTCGTGGAATTTATCCGCACAAGCACACCCAAGAAGTCATGCAGCCATGCATGGGATTCTCAAAAGTTCAATGGGTGCAAATCGGCATGACTTTGGAGAGGAGTGCCTCTGTTCAACACGCATTCCAGTCCCTGTCTGAAACTTAAAGTACTTTGAGATCCTTTTATTACCTAGGCCACGGCCTATCAAAAGGGCCTAGAATCAGGAATGCTCTAGAGTTAGAATCATAAAGGGCTCCCGTCGAACCTTACTATATAGAAGCTTTCAGCCCACGCCGCTTTGACTTTTCTCCGCTACAGCTGCTTCATGCTTCCTGTCGAATCATGCCACCTTCTTGTCTTCGCACAAGTGCCAATGTCAACTTGCTGCCAACCATTCCAAGCGGTCCCTGTAAGGCTTAGCTGCCATGCTTGCTTGTCCTAGTAAAAGGCAAAATCGACGGCAGCTGCAAGTCTTTACTAGCAAGCAATGCTTGAAATTCCTAGAGCCTCGAAAGCTTGATCAAAACCATCAATAGAGCAACTCTTCCTGTGCTTCCCACTGATTTACGACTTCCAGTGCATGAATGCCTGGGTCTCCGTATACAGGAGCACAAAAACTCTCAATAAGAGTGGTGCATGCAGTGCATGCAGCGCCAAATGGTAACAGTATACTCTGGTTTTTGCTGGTAGAATCGGTAGCAAGAAAATGCAAGAAATACACACCAACAAAACAATTCTCAGGTTTTCGGAACTGTCAGTTTGAGGTTCTTGTTGTCAAGTCACATCTGGACCAACGGAGAAGCCTCTCGCTCAAGTAGCATTGGACCAAAAAGTAACTGGAGTGTGTGTGTGTGTGTATGTGTATAATATGTATATATATATATAAGATAGTACAAGTAAAATATTGTTCATTGCTCAGCTGGCTGGCCGGCGGCTGGCTGGCTGCGAGTTTTCCCGAAGAGTTCATTCTCTGGACAGGAAATACCTACTCAGACCAAGTACGCGACCAAGTACGCTGTCCTGAAGAGTGAACTTGCATTCTCGCAGTCTGTCTTCTGGGACAGCTCGGAGCTCTCGGTCACGACATCAGTGTCCCACCAATACTAATAACGTTGGTTTGCTGGCAGCTAGCCATGTGGAAAGTCTTCCCGCACTCCATAGTCCAAATCCTCGTCCGACACCACCAGCCTGCGGCAGGAAAGGATTCATCCTCTGGACTCTCGAAAAGATTCAGCTTGTAGATGCATAACCTTGATTCATTGACCAAAATCAATGTGGTTTTCTCCCGCAGCCTATGACATGAGTATATACATCCATTCTTCCAGCCATTATGAACTTGATTTAGCCTGGTACTCCTTAACCGTTTGCTTTCTTATTTCTTTGTGCAACCGTTCCACACTGTTGCTATTCTTGGACGATATTCAAATAGTTCCAGTTTGGCTTCTTGTACCCAAGTCCACCTGCAACAAGCCTGCTCAGACTGTTAAGATGCATGGATCTACTGAAAATTGTTTGTGATAATTGGAGTTGTTTGGACTTGCACTTAGGGCAGGCAAAAGGACGGTTCAGTTCATGGGAAAGTGTTTTTGAGATTCGCACGCCCTCTTGTCTTCACCATGCCTGCAAAGATGCTGGCCAAATGGTGAGAGCCTTCAGGGTCAACATGACACCAAAAAGCCAGCCCTATCAGTCTCCACACAATGAGACAAGTTGGCCTGTCAAACATCACTCGAAACCAAGAAAATCCTAGTTGATGAACGATACAGGTCCCTGCTAGCTGCCTCTTCTCTGTCCTGTTTTAAGCATCCATGTCACTAGCTGCACTAGCCAGAATCCAGTTCAGCCTTCTCCACAGGCGCCGTGGCATGCATCGAGGCGCCAGCTTCCAGGGATTCCGCCAAAGCGTATCGGTGGATCCCCAGCACCACCAGCTAGCAGCGAACTCCACGTTGGGCAAAAAGCGCGTGGCTCGAGACCTAAAGCTTAAAACTGACCTAAAAAACCTACAGCTTTGCTTAAAGCCTTCTTGTATCTTCTTGTACTGTTGTGATCCATTCCTTCAGGTGAACGGCGTAAGTCAAGTCAAGTCAAATTCTCCCCATTCTCGATCCGAGAGACAGGTTCGGTGTCCCGCCATGCCACAAGCGGTTGTCTCGCAAAATGGCGGTGCCTGGCTTTTGGCATCAAAAGTTCAATGCCAAAGTGCAATGGAGTTGTTTTTTTTCAAACATCGCTTGAAGTTGGAGATAAAAGTCATGATGTGCTGCCTTGCATGAACACTCAAGCGATGCAAGAATATGCAATGCAAGAAGAGGCCAGGCTTTCAATCTGCATCGGCTACAGTATATAAGTGTTTCTGAAGATGTCTGGCTGAAATCCCTTTCTCACCACCTGAGACAAGCTGAACATGCACAATCGCAAATACCCAAGGCGCAGCAAGCCTGCAGGGAGTGGGCACAAAGTGTAGTAGCGCCAGTCCTTCTTGCCGAAAAAGAGTCAATGCGAAAAGCGGGCAAAATACATGTATGGTTTATGTGGATGTGAATCAAAAATAGTAGCTTCATAAATGGCTGCATGGCATGGAATGGCGGCGCTTTGGGTCTGGTGGCACCCCATTCCAAATCTGACTGTCATATTAAATACAAAACAGATTCTCCACAAGACCAAGAGTCATAAGGTTCCTTCTTCGGATCAGGTGGCTCCCAGCAGGACCACCCTTCCTTCACATGGTGTGTTCCAGGAATAACTCGCCTAGATAGGGGCACGGCGCAAAGCTACAAAACATCAACAATCAGAATGTACGGCAAATTATCTGTAGATTAATGCCCTTCTACATTATTGTCGGTTAAACATTGTTTGGGTTGCCAATCTAATTCACCAACGTCCCAGTGACGTGGGGCCATTCAACCACGTCAGAGGGGATAGCGGGACATTTAGGGTCACCACTGGAGAGTCTCTACTTTCATGGCATCCCGGAAAGTTGAGATCAGCGTGAAGCGGCTGGTATTCGCTGACCCCTGGCAAAACGCTGTCACCACCTCAGCCAAAATGCAAAAAAATGTTTAAGTCTTCTAGCTTGGCCATCAAATTGCAAAAAGTTCACAACTTAAGTCCATGCCCACCTGCACCCGCACAAAGATAGTCCTTCCCTCCAAAGATTCGAGTCAGCACAGCCGATACCTGCAGGGTCTGTCGTGACCGTCGTGACCTGAAGAGCATGTGTCTTTTAACTCGAAATGTAGGTCGAGCCGGTCGAGCTTAGTAAAGTCTTAGAGCATCTTTGCTTGCCCCACCAAAGGCAAGAGACACGAGCGTCACTAGCACTTTGATTTGTTGGAGAAGGGCCAGCAGTGCAAGCACGAAGACTCCCCAGCGCCACACTGGGCGCTGGGACACCCTTGCGCACTGGCCCCAGGAAGTCATGGGAGACCAGGAGAGCACATCGTGGCCAGGTCAGCCGTTCAAGCTGCAGAAGGCTGATAAATAGATAGACAAATAGACAGATAGAGAGATTTCTCGAGAGCTTAGGGTGGCTTCGGACTCAACTTTGTTTCCGTTGTTCCAATGTGGTGGCGAGCTGCTCCTTAGATACGGTGTCAGCCTTTGGCGAGACGGAAACGAGTCGAAAGAGCTGGGCTAATTCAGATGTTGTTTTTAGTATAGACACAAGGAGGGTCCATCAATTCAGGGTTGGCAGTATACAGTATACTGTCCCTTGAAGAACCACAGGAGCAACAGACTCTCCCAATCCTTCTCCACATCCACCAGTTCCGCCCACTCGACTCGATGTAGAAGATGTCCAGTCTTCTGCGCCTCTCCTCTCGAGATTACGCTGAGGCTGCCGGTTTAGAAACCTACAGCCTACAGTTGTCTTTCTCCACTCCGGCAATTGTCTTTCACTTCGGGCAAAACAGCTTGCACCCCTTATTCATTAACCAAAACATATATAAGGAAGCTACTCGATCCTAAAGAATAGCGCCCCCTTCCACGATTGCCGCTCTTGCGAGGATCCTTCTGAAGCATCCAGAGCTCCTCAACGAATCTCCGTCATTTGAGCACACTCACAAACGTCAAACATGTTGTAACACACTCTTTGTTCATGTAAGATTAAATATGTTTTCAATATTGATTAATTACCCATAGTCTCCAAAGGTCACCCCTCCTCTTCACGGCAGGCCTCCAACAATTCCTGACACTGCCTTCCACCCACAGCATTTGGCACCAACACAAGGCCTGCTTCCTTAAAGATCTCTGCCGCCAGAACTGGATCCTCTGCCACAAAGAGTTCAATGTTCGGAAGCCCATTGTGTACTTCCAGTGCCCTCAGATCTCTCAGATCTTCCTGGTCTTCCCTCGAAACCCAGCGCGACACCGGGCGCAACACTGGGCGCAATGCAAGAGGAGTTCCCAGAAGACAAAGGAACCGAGGAGCGCTCAGGCGCAGCAAATCGCAAAAACGGCTTTTGCATCGGCCTTTGCTCAAGCTTGGTTGTGACTGTAGAGGCGTGAGACCATAGCGCGGTTGTAAAACGCTCCTTGCAAGCATAGCCTACCTGAACCTACCAGTACTGCAGATTTCTGTCAAATCTTCTATCTATACGGGCCTATATACGCAGATCTATGCAGGCTAAGTCTCAATCGAGACGTGGTGAAATCTCGGGCCAAAGCAAAAGCCACGGTCAACACCAGAAGCACGAAACTTGTGACTTACTGGGTTCACTTTCACCATCCCCCTCACTCCCGTCGAAAGATTGTCAACTGTTTTTTATGTGCTTTACAATGTTCACCATTCTACATCTTTTGCCTCAGGGTCCCAGCTTTTCGGCGCTGCTCCAACTCGTACTTGGCCTTTGCAGCCCTGTATTCGTCCTGCTCCTCCAGGGCGGTAGATTCTCAATGACTAGTGGTTGCATGTGGTTCCTGAGGGCATTGTGTCGGTTCGCATAGAATGGAAGAACAGCTGCTAGATAGCATAGCTTAAGCTTTAGCTTTGGGGGTGGGCGCACTTTCGCTCTAGAGTGCTGTGCTCTTGATGCTTTTGAGTAGATAATTAAATCGACCTCGTGTGTATGCTTGTCCGCGTGGGTTCGGAGCTAAGCATTGTCGGTTTTTGCAGCCCGAGGGTGACTGCATTATTGACAAGACAGACTGGCAGACCGAGACAGACAGACCGAGACAAACAGACGGAGACAAACAAACGCACACTCTCCATGCGGGCGGCTTCAAGCGCGAAGCGCTCTGAATATCTCCAATCTGAACCCTTTAAGATGCCATGTACCTCATTGTCTAGTAGTCAATCAAGGGCGATGAATCCAGATCCAGCAAAGAGTAATCAATGGACTTGGTCTCAAGACAAACACCAAATAACCCCACCTGCAGCGGAAGCTTGGACCAATATGTGACTAGTACGTGAGGAACTGCCAAGATGTACTGCTTAAAGAACAAAACAAATGCTTGGTGAGAAACAATCTGGGTGAGCACAAATGTCGCCTGATCAACCGCATGCGACAACAAGATCGACCCCATTGGAACGCCGAATGTCACTGTGAGAACTGGGAGCTGCCGATTTGGACCATTCTGGATCCAATGAAACCATCTATATCTATATATACACTGATTTTCTACTCAAATTTCTACCCACATCTTAGGCCCTGCCGTTAACTCACATCCAATCCACAAGTATATACAGTGATCATAAATTCCCGCTGTCACCTTGATCCTCTTAAGCTGCCTTTCCTCAGCGCCTGGCGGATGCGTCAAAGGCCAAGAGCTTAATTCATTAAAGCAATGGAAGCAAACCTCTTTTAAGGAAACTCGGAAACTTGTTACACAGCTCATGGAGTTGCCTGGGTTGCAAGTAGACAGTGGACAGCAACTGCTTTCTCTAGGCAAATCTGAACAAAAGCGAATGTAACCTCCGCAGAATGCAGCAATTCAGCCTACCGGACTACGGATTCATGACTCTAAAAATTGTCCAAGAGTATATATCGTTAGTTTCCCTAAATATCTAGGAACCAAATGAATAGTGCGAACGCTTCTTCAAGGAAGCTCCCCCCCGCCACCTTTAGGGCGGCGGGGCGGCGGGGGAAGCTTCCTTGAAGAAGCGTGAGCTATCCTGCGTCTTACCTAGGAGCGCCCTGTACCTACTAGCTACCTCTATCCTACTAGCTACCTAGCTACCACTAGCTACCTCTAGCGGCATACCCCCCTAAATATATATATATATGTCTATATATACACATATACTGACCACACCATGGGATCTTCACGTCTTTTCACCGAATACCGCCGGTCCCACTGCCTGTGAGAGCTGGGGGTGGTGAAGTGCCGTCAGGGAGGAAGCGGCCGCTGCCAAACACCTGCTGGCACAATTGGAAAAAGCTCAGGAAAGCTAAAACAATTGGATTTCAGAGTTTCCAGGGCCCTCATGATCAGAAGTTTGTGAAGCCAAGATCTGGACCCTCAGCTCACGCTTGCTCTCTTCCGTTATGTTCCCCGTGGCTTTTGTGTCTTACTTCCTTTAATGGGTACTGCTAGGTGCATCTTTTGTCGGGCCTTTCTTAGTTTCGCATTGAGTAGGACTGGCAGGACGACATACTAACCTTCACATTAGCAAGCAATGTCCCTCTCACCATTCAATAGGGGTGAGTGGCAGGTAACTTGGTTGGGGAGCGGCTTTGTGTCAGGACTTGGAGTGTCAGGGTAGTCAGTCATCCCAAAGCCTCTTCGCGAGTCCAACTTGGCACCTGCTTGTCCCCCATGGCTTTAAACATGTTGTTGAAGCTCTTGGCAGCTTTGTGCTCGATCGACTTGATCTCCTGAGCTTGAGTGGAGAAAATATATAGTTCTACTTTTGAATGGATAAAAAATGATAAAAATGTGAAACTGCATTGCCATCTGCCCATGGCCACTTTTTTGCATCAACGGCACTGGATGATTACCAAACCAAAGTCGAAAAGCAACAAAACGTGTCTTGGCATGATAACAAAAACTTGAACATGATGTCCTCCCGCCGTTCGCGGACGTCATCCATGATATGTTCGCGGAAGTCCTGCCAATTGCAACAAGCAGCCGTCAAAAGAAAGTTGCGATCGCCCCCGCCCCAGCACAACCATGATGGCCGTTTCAAGGTCCAGCAGAAAGAAGATTGAATGACCAAATCATAAAGACCACACCATCTTGTTCAACTGCGTCACCAATTGGGAGGGACAACAAAAGTAGCAGCCAATTTGATTCCGGTGCAACATGGCTCCAACCTGATCCATGTCTTCTGCGATCTGTTCGACTTCATCCAGCACTTCCAGCGCCTACATTGCGTACCCGTAGATGGCATCCCCACAGAACCAAAGTCATCTGCAAGCTGCTTACCGCTCTTTGGAACTGTCAAGAATTCATTGTTTCCTGGCTTTGCTTTGTTGTTTAGACCTTCAGACCTTTTTTCTTTCTTTTGTCCTTTCTTCATTCCCGTTTTTCCTATCTTTTCCAAAATAGACTTGTTATTGGGATCCTAAACACGCGGCCTCTGGTTTCAGACCGTGCTTGCATTTGTCTCTTAACACAACAATGTCAGCTGCCTCGTCGGTTCGCCCAAGACCTCAGTCCAACGGGCGGACCGTACAAGTGGATATCTCGAGCACACCCAATCCATCCATTAGACGTTCCATGATTTCTTCGATCAAAGGTCTACGAAGTACATCTTGAGGTCATGGCCCTCTAAAGCTTGAGCCTTTCGGAAGAGTGCCTGAGTCAAAGTCACGTTTGGACGTTTGGTGCCCAAGAGTTGGATCATGTTGTGGCTAGGTATGATAAAGTAGATGGGTCTCAACCTGCTCACAACGTGCTTAATCTAAACGAACTCAATCAAGGCCAGATTCGAATTGCACCTATTACAAGCTCCGGTGTACGAACAATGTCAGATCCACTCAGTGACGAGCAATGATCCACACTGCTGCTACTACGACCCATCAGTATGAGAGTAGGGCAGATGACATATGGCATAGATGCAATAATAGATGCAGCGATGTTGTTTTTTTGCTCAGCCTAGCCAGTCCACAACACTTCCGAGGTCTCAAAGCACGAGGAGGACGACCCCGCTGGAGAAAGCGGAACAGCTTGGACAGCTTCAGAGCCTTCATATGGGCCTCCGCTCCGGGAAGTCTAGTGGTCTTCAAGATATGGTTCGCACAACCCGGACGATCAGGACAACTTAGAGCTGAAGGCGGTTGGGATGCATATTAGATGGGGCGGGTAAAGAAAGCCAATTGCAACCAAATTGCAGCAAACAAATTCTGTGACCAGGCAACGACTGCTTGGTCTTTGAGTGTGGCCCTGCAGTGACTGCGAAACCTTGCAATTGCCAACACAAGGTCCTTAAAAACGAGAAAGGAGAGCCCGAACCACGTCCGGATCTACCAGAGGAAGGAGTCTTGCTTTGCCAATACACGATGCAGGTGCAGGATATGCTGGCAATCTAGACCAAGCTCATCGGAGAAGCCAGCATTAACGCCAACCACATGGATGATGGCACTCGCACCTCCAACATTCAAGACCGAACCCAACGGCAATCGCTTTTGCAACTACAGCGACCAGGTATGCGAGGAAGGCAGCCACAATATGATAGGATCGGCTGGAAGACTGGGGCTGATCGAAGGTTCCCAATTTTTTAGGCGAAAGTCAGAGTGAAACTCAAAATGCAGGGATGCCTTGCTGCACTCCATGACCCACCGGGCCAATGTCCTGGGAAAAGGAGGGACCATCAAGCAACACTGCCGCTTGCTGGCAATGAAATGGGTGATGTAGTTGCTAGCCACAACTGCCCTACGTTTCGCAAAGGTTGCATGTGGGAAGAGGACAAACCGCAAGTACCCAGTGTTTCCAGAATAGGTGAGCCATCAAAAAATGACAAGTTTCCAACCAATATTATATAAGTAGCCCCTACGCGACCGGCAATAGTTATTGCAACCAATCAGTGAAAAAACAAAATTGGCGTAGTCGTCGTAGTACTACTGCTGCTACTACCACTACTACCACTACTACCACTACCACAACTACTACCACTACTACTACTACTACTACTACTACTACTACACGACGACGACGACGACGGCAACGACTGCTACTACTACTCCTGCTGCTGCTACTACTACTATTGTCGTAATCGTAGTCGTCGTCATCGTCGTGGAAAAAGCCGTGAAGCCTTGCGGAAAAGATCGTGATCTACCTCAATAGCTACAGACCGACCAGGTTGGTTTTCGGAACCAGAATGCAGTTTACCCGTGCAGGGAGTCACGTACCGCCAGCGCCGCCATAAGGCCTACAAGCCCTGATCCAGATCGCCACACCGTTGCACAACTTATACATCATGAGTGGCATTGCACAAGGGACGGCTCAGGTATGCTCAGGTGACAAAACAACATGTCACACCGTGTAAACAAGACCGGGGACAGGAGCGCACATCAAACTGTCGCTGCAAAGGCTCTGGAGCCAAAGGAGGTGCTGACCATGGCTTTCGGAGGCGCTTGAAAGCGATGGGGCAAAGGTTAGGGAAAGCTACGACGTTGTACCACACAGCTTAGTGCCCTCCTCCAGGCCTTGTCCAGGCCGTCTGTGTGTGTGTGTAACCTTTGGAGTCACAAGGTTCCTGTTGGAACATGTTTCGTGGCCGTTTGAAGTTTTATGCAGGGGTGGCAGCAGGAACGAGAGTCTGCCACCAACGAAGACACTCTCGCTTTCCTGGTGATACTGGGTCTGATCATCCCAGCGTACCTGCCTCGAACACAATCACTCCAGTGGTCGCCCTCACCGAGGCCGCTTTGCAGGTTTCTCAGGTGATGTAAATTGCTAATGCATTCTGCAGTCATGCACGAACGCCGCCAGCTTGTCGCCGCGTTTCGGATTCGGGCATTGCCAATTTGGAACCTTTAGAACCTTTGGAAGGTTTTGAGAACTTTTTGAGACGTTGAGGACTTTTACAACTTACCTGGAACCTTAGGTTTTCACTTAGGCCGGCGTGTGGCAAACCGCAACCAAATCAGTATGCAAAATCTTAAGTGTGTCTCTCTGGAGGCCCTGCGTTTTCCCTGTCCAGGTCTGGTGTCGGCCGATTTTATCACCGCCTTATCCCCGGCCTCATCCCCTCCGGATATGTTTTCATGATGTCATGTAGCTATGAATGCAACAGTGATGCAGCGTTTGCTATCATCCTCGGATTTTCTCATGACATATATCACTTCGTGTTTGCACATGTGACCTCGGCAATCAGGAACTATGTTCTAAAATTTTTTGTTTACATGCCATTCCCAATGCAGACGTTATCACCAAGCCAAAAATCATGCTGTCTATGCTGGCATATTTCTTTATGAGGTACGTGTCCAGTCAAAGCATCGCATTGTGACACAACCACATCCAAAACGGCTTTGGTCACCTTCTCATCATCCATCTTCAGCTTCAGTGCAGACTCAGCCCTCGGAACGGCGACTCACAAAGAATCCTTCCCCAAAAGGTCGACATCAGTCTCACATCTATTTCATCTATGGACCCTGCATATCCAAGAAACGAAAGCATTCTTAGAAGAGAAGGACAAGAGCAAGCTCAGGAGAAGTCTTCCAAGAATAGATTAACTACTCCCATCTTCTCTCAAAAAAACACCCATGGCTGAAGATCTTTGTTTCGGGCGCTCTCAAGGCTGTCTGCCATTGATCCATCTGGAGCGCGGCATTGGCCTGATCTGACAAATGCAAAGAGTTGCCTGAGCTTTTCACAAGCTTGAAATCTTATCAAGGCCTGTGGGAATGCAGAGTTTAGGTCAATGACTACCTTTCTAGTGGCCGTCTGCTCAGTTGGTATTGGACTAGACCGAATGATGCAAGAGTCAACAGTTGAGCCGTTAGGAACTACTGACAGTGCGCGCAGCCTGCACAGCAGCATCAAAAGCCCAATGTGACACACTGTGGTTCCCATGGCCTTGTTGTTCAAGCACTGGCGATGCATGGTTTTCAGTTCCTGGAAACTCTGAGACATTGCGGCCACCCAAGGAGAGATCTAGAGTCTTGAGAGGAAGTCACAGTTGGTTCACCGAAATCAGAAGCTCTCTGGATGCACTTGTAGGACCGGCCTTGTTCTCTTTGTCTAGATGTGGCTCTGCAGCAAAGTTCTTCAGCATTTCATCACCTTGACAATACCTCTCAAAGCATGAATCATCTCAAAGTCACTCGTGCGACTCAATCGTACTGCACCAGCGTCCATCTACAAAATAATAGTCGACTCGACACATGCTCGACACATGTGAACTCAGGCAAAGCAAGTCTGCCCCACTTGGCCTGGTGAGGGCTCCCTCCCAGTTCTCGTTGAGGAAAGCCTCCACAAGTTAAGGTCTAGGCCACACAAAACTCCAAACACCGATCTTCATCATCAGGACTCAGCGTGGAGTGACAGGCCATAGTTGTATGCGTACAGTAAGACCTAGGTGTGCAAAAAATTATTCAGGATGTCAATCTTCGCTTCGGATTCTGTACTTCGGGCCTCATTTCCTTCTGATTTGATCTTCTGGCCAAAGTCGAGAACTCCCTGACGACGCTGGACTGACGTCGGCTGCTGGTTCATCCCGCTGCTTCTTGACCCTTTCTGCTCGGTGACCTCCAGTCTTCCTGCTCATTCTTCAACCATACTTCAAACGGCCCTTCAGAATCCAGGATGTGCTTCATCAAGAAGGAGCAGTTCCAAGGGTATCAATGGGCCCGCAGGTTTGGAAAGTAGAACCCTGCCACATCACATGAAATGGAGATATCAGCATGCAAATGCGGTGTTGAAAAGTTCTAAAGTAGGAAGTATTCTTATTAACTCCTACCTTGTCTCCTTTTGATGAAGTGGATGCCTGGATTTCGCGGCGATCCAAGACTTGCTTGCGATCAGGTGCCTCACACAGTTGGCATGTCGCACTGTTGAGTGTCAGCCCTCAACGAGATGTTTGATCTCATATGGCACGCAACAGGGTAGTTCATCATCAAACGATGTTTTGATTCTCAACTTGTTGGCCTGTGACCGGGTTGGCGTTAAGGCATCAAACGAAGGAAATGAGGGTTTCTTAGTCATGGGTTTGCAAGTGCCTTGGTTAAACATATCCCACCAATTGTTTGATGATACCCAAGAAATTTTCTCAATGGTACAAGCCTCTCCGTCAATCCCACCGGGGATGCAGTCAGCTTCCACCACCATTTTGTCCATCAGATCTTCTTCTACCTTGGGGCAAGTAGCACAAACAGGCAACTGGTTGTGTGAAAGGTCGCCTCAAAATGACCGCTGTGACTTCTCTTGACCCTGGCCTCTTCTTCCGCCTGCCAACCTGCCACTCCGTATGGGCCCGCCGTGATCTCCGCCTACCGCTGGCAAAACTGGAGAAAAAATGCATATGTATGTATGTATGTATGGATGGATGGATGGATGGATGGATTTTTTCTCCTAGAGGGGCTTTCTCTCTGCAGAGGTCACGATGCCTTTGGCATATGTACACGGCAGCTCCGCCATGTAGTCGTGCTGGAAGAAATCCACTGCCATCATCTCATCTGGTTCAAGTGTGGCTTCTTCAGCAGTTTCCTGGTCAGCTCTATCACGAGCTTCTGGGGTCTGCATCGGCCGAGCTGTTGTGGTAGCAGCCTTGGGTTGTGCTCCTGCCTGTTGGCTGGGGTTCATGGCCTTGGCAGGCTGGTCGGTGGCATCTTCAAGCTCTCTCGTGTCGAGTTCTGTGCGAAAGTGCAGCCTTCGAGGTGTTGGGCCGGTGTTCCACTCTTTGTGGGTTGGCGCCATCGGGTGGACAGCTGCAGTGCTCTGTGTGGCTTGTGTGCCCTGCTGGCTTTGTGGTTTGAAAAAGTGCTGGGGTGGTGGTGAGCCCTTGAACCTGCGCCTTTGCACTCTCGATGGAAGCCAGCTGTGCTGATGATCCGTTTTTGGCTGTCCATGTGCCATTGGAGGCCACATAGGGTGCAGCTGATCCGTTCTCCTTTCTGCCAGAGGTTGTGGCTAGGATGGCCGCTATGCTCTGCCTGGTAGGCTTGGTCGAGGCATGGACTGGTGACGTAGTCGTGGAACGCCTTCCCATTGGTGCGTTTGTGGATGCTGGCTCCACACTTGATGCACTTGAGGTAGCCCTTTGTCTCTTCTTCAAAGTGGTGTTGCTCTTTGCCAGGTGCTGTGTTGGCTGTTCGTGTAACAGGTCCTTGACGAGCTGGGCTCTGGTGGGTTTCTTGGTTAGGGCTGGTGCTGCTGGTGGTGTTTCTGGGCTGTTGGCGTCAACCTGCAGCTGTGGACAGGTTTCCTGTAGCCGTGCCTCAAGGATTGGGGTGGTCAATCCTTGATGCATGGCAGTGGTACCCACTGCAATGCGGTTCCCACCTGTGGCGGTGTGCGGTGTGGGGTCCAGGGCTTCCGGCACTGCTGTACCAAGTCCTTTTTGTGTTGCTTGGTTTGCTTGCCTTGTTGCCTGGGTGCTTTGCTGTGTGTGTAGTGCTGTTTGTCCGCATAGATCTTCTCTAGCCTTTGGACCGCATGTTTGTAGATCTGCGTGTGATCATGGTCCACTGTCTCTCGCCATTCGGTGCGCTTGCGATCGTGCATCGCATTGGCACGCTCCCAGGCTGTGAGGGCAGCATCTCTCTGCCTGCGCAGGAGTTGTGGTTCATTGCCGGGTGCATCTGGTGCCCTGCTGTTCTTGCTTATGTAGAGCACTGTGACTCTCCTTCTGTCCTGTGTGGTGAGGTCTTCCAGGAGGTCTTGGAATTGGCGCTGATGTGGTGCTTGATGCCATGCTTCCCAGACAGCGCTCAGCTGAACAATGACCTTGACCGGAGTGGTGGTATGTTTGGTCATTGCAACCAGGCCGGCAAAGAGAGCTCTGGCTTTGGGGACCTTTGGGGATTCCTGTGATGGCCCCGAGTCGCCGAAGCTGCCCCATGGTTTGGGTGTGGGCGCACAAGCCAAATACGCAGACTTGGCTTCTGGGATCATATGTGGATGTGGTGGCATCGAGTGTGAAAGCCCATCCAATGTACTGGTGTGGGCTGGAGTTGGTAGGAGAACCCGGTGCAAAAGGGGCGGCTACCGCTTTATTCCATTTGAGTTTGCGAATGGCAGTTTGCAATTGATCCAGTGTAAAAGGCATGCAATGAGTGGGCAGTTTGGAACCAGACCATGTGATCTCTGTGGTGGGCTCAGGGATGGTTCTCCCTTGCGGATCAGCCCATGTCGTGCGTACAAAGTTCACCAGGGCTGCATGCGATTCCACAGGTCCTAGAGGCTGACCATGTTTATCTCGAAGTTGTATTCTTCTACGAACAGCCTTGGGTGTTATTCTATTGATTAGTTGATAGGCTTGTACGTGATGGATGGATGAATGGATGGATGGATGGATGTATGGATGTATACATATACATATACGTATGCGTATACATATACATATACATATATAATGCCAAGCCACGTGTATCACGTCCCACGTGTATCACGTCTGAACTGCTGGCTCTTGTGAGGCCCGTGTAGTTGAAAACAAAACATAAAACAGTTGCGTTGGAAATCAAATTTTCATGTGGCACCAACCATGTCGTGATGTGCATGTTTCGTGGTGGTCCAGAAGCAACAACTAAACAACCACAAAACGACAAACCTGCGTTTGTGTAAGAACTGCTGCCTGCCGTTTAACTGCAAGCCAACGGGATGAACAATCAGCACTTCAAGAAAAACCAGGCAACAAACGAGCACGATGGAAAGCGCGCGCTGCCATCCCGAAAGACTAAGGGTGAAGGGCTTACCACAGCACCGTTCGTTGAAGTTTGTTGGCTTCGCAATGGCGATTTAGAAATCCAAAACAATGTCAGATCTTGCCAAACTTTGAACAATCAGATCAAACAAAGTTCGTGCATTCGAACTAAGCGCTCCACCACCCTTAGGCCAGAATGGGATCCAAATTGCACATAAGTAAATATATATATATATATATGTGTGTCTACATGTCACAGGTGTACATACATGTGTTTATATGTATGTATATGTATTTACATTTACATTCAAGACGCGCTCTTTTCCACAACAAGAAGGTCCACAGGGAGCCAGGTTTCAGGGCGGCATCACAGAGGCTGCAAGTTTTCAACGCAGCAGCAAAGAATCTTCTGCAGCCAAGTTAAAAAGGGGTCACGCGCAACCACTCAAGATCCGCTCTTTTCCATCAAAGGAGAAGGCTTACAGGCTGCCAGGTCTCCAGGCAACATCAAAGTCCCCAAGACATATTTTAAGCAAAGCAACGACGAAGTCTCCTAGTCGGTGCTAAGTCATCTGCTGTCAAAGACCCCAAGCCCAGCGCTTGCAGACCACCTGAGCTTTTTGCCGTCAGCAAAAGTTCGGTCAGCCCCAACAGCTCCAAAGTTGCGCTGTTTTCGGCAGATGCTTGGAAAAGGTCAGGGCCTTTGAGCTTCGCAGGTTGGTGTCTGGCCCCTGCCTATCTAGCTTTTCGTTCCAAAATGGCATGGGCTGCGAAGTGGGTTTTGTCTGTTCAACATCCTGCGGCTAAAGGAACCCAGGTTGTCACGCCATTAGGTTCCACTGCCATCCAGGAGCACACCAAATCGCAAGATCCCTGCATCTGCCTTAAAAAGGCCAAAGCCAAGTGCCAAAGTCTATGAAAGAAATACAAATGAATCGGGAGGCTATGTCCAGCAGCATCAATCTCATCGCCCAGCATGACCTCCCTCTCGGGAGCCCCCCTTGATTCCTTTTTCGCTTTTTAGTCAAAGAGATTGCGCAAGATATGACTAATCTTGCTCCCAACCTCGGGGCCATGGGCACCAATACTGCGTCAAAACCAACTCACCAGCAACACTCTCAGATCAAAGTTATCAAAGCTGACTCATAACTGCTCAAATTCATGCAAAAATGAACTGGCCACTCTCGTACTCTCGACCTCACGATGGCCACCATCAAGGAGCCCGTCGACGGTATCTCTATACTGCGATCTCTCCATGATGAAGAGAGTGTAAGCAGAGTCTGACACTTTGAGATAGCTGCGCCGTTACTCCCGAAGTGTTCAAGCTAGCCCGTAGCTTAGATACTTCCATCAATCCCTTGCTGCCTCAAGCCAATTGACAAATCGCAAAAGTTGGCCCCTTAGTTGGCAAGTTTGAGGGCTTTGCATTCGGCAGCGATCCTCCCCTTTCTGTCGCTAACTTGGTGACTGTCGCCAGAGCTCCCTCCATCAGTTCTCTTTTCAGAGTGCTTTTTTGTAGAACTCAAACTTGCCCCAACCAAATGAATATTCTGTGAAGGAAGTCGGGCCAGCCGGGGCCCTGGAAAGTCCGCCGCCGACCGCCGGCGCTAGGTAGCGCTGGTATACTGCGGGTAAACTCGCAGGGCCGGTGAGGAGAAGGCTCCTCCTGCCTCTCTTGATGGCTGGAAAGCCAAAGTCAAGTCCCTCACTGCTTTGGATAGCTCTCACAGATCCAAAGCAAGGCCAGCCAGGAATGGCAAAAAGGACAAGGGGTGGCAGTGCACAGGGCAAGCAAGGGAGGCAGAAAGAGAGGAGAACAGCGACGGCCTTCAACCAGCACAGCACCCCAACTGTGCATTCCCTGAAGCTTGAGACGAGCCTCACGATCATGGTTAAGTGTGCATATGATTACCAAAGAATTTATGTACCCAGCCAACTTGCGATTGCGTCTCACCGCTGCCAGCCCTTCCACCCACTGCAAAAGCCTGCAGGTTCCACAACCACATGATCATACGAGAGTTGTTTCCCTGTTTTGCACAGGTTCGCAGGAGACGTACATAGTGTAAAAAGATCTGTACTGTCATACGATGCTTGGCAATTCAACATAGAAACCCTATCCGAATATGACCCTCATTGATTGAAGTAGGATTAGTTCTATCAAACAGCTTTTTGTGCTGTGCTTAGTGTCTTCAAATACCATCACGACGCTCACTTTGCTTAAGCAAACTTGCTACTCATAAGGTTAGATTAAATCCTCTACGTCAAACAAATGAACATCAACCTAAAGTTTGTGCATCTTATCATATCGGAAAAGGCAATTGCTCACAAGCACATCCGACTGCCTAAAATCAGTATCACCCAAACCAACGAAGCATTGCAAAAACCTTGAAGGGTATCAAGAAACAGTCCAAACTAATGCAGTGCCATAAATCAAGCTACATCTCAGGACAAATGACCAATACATGCGTCCTTCAACCTTGCTCTTAGCCTCTTGGCACCACCTTCAACGTGTTGTAGAGCCTGTATGGCTTAGTCTACACTACACTTGGACTTGAAAACTTTGTTTTGCATTTTTGGGTACCATGAACTGAGACTCCAAGGTCGGCTGTGCCTTGATTGCCTGAAGCCTGTGGTAGACTTGCGGCTGCCTTCGCTTTGTGGATATTGGGAAGTGGCTGAGCCCCGGCTGGGCTATCTGGATTTGGAGATCTGCACTTGGCAAATGTCACCAGGTGAAAAGGAGTAAGTACAGCACTTGTCTTATCGTGCCAGATACACCACTTCTGTCAGCTTCTTGCATGGTCCTATCACAACAAGCTCGAATTTGGCAAAGCAAACTGGATGGGATTGAGATTGTTGTTGAGGAGATTGAGCGGGACTTGAGCATTTTTGATAGCACGTCCGAAACCGTGTCGCAATGTGCGCTGGAAACAGAAGCTGGATTCTTGCAGCTCATGTCTTACCCAGCAAAATATCTACAACCGCTGACTGCTCCCAAACGCACCAATGACCTTAGCTTGTCACAGAAGAGCATCCCCTCCTTCCGTGCTTCGCACAGCACCTGTCAGCAAAGCATTCAAGGACCAGTGAACACATTGACTTGACGTTTGCAGACAGGCCTGTTGAGCTAATGAAAAATTGCTGGGGACAAAGGCCCTATTGTGTCCGACTAGCAGGGTCTACAGGCGCTCACGATTGCAGCCAGGTGTGGTCATTACAGGGCAAAATGCTGGAATAACATGAACCTGGTTCCGCTGCAATTCACAGGTCATCACTTGTGCTCTTCGCCTTCCACAAGTACTGCTGGGTGATTTTGTACCTCGCCCCGCTCTGAAGGACCGTATACACAAATGCCACAGACGCGACCTTGACAGTACTTATTTGAGTTGTATTGCCAAGGCCTTCGATGTTCAATCAAGCAACTAGCGAACTTATTCACTTGGACACTCACCAAACTGGTTCTACCTGCGACTGTATAGGGCCCACATCGATAAGCAGCTCTAAGGCGCAGGCCGGAACATAGGAGAGATCAAATGCTTAATGTTGGTGGCACACTTCATCAACTCATCCATAATCTCATACCTGGCAAGCGCAGCTTAACAACTCTGTGGCACAAGAACACAATATAGATGAAGCATTTCCTTCGGTAGTCCTTTTCAGTGTGAGCCAGATCGAACTGAAAGCACCACATCAGCAGGGGCTCTATCAGTGCGCTGGCTTCCCACAACTTCACGGCGGAGCCTAGCCTCTCTCAGCTCGCTGACCTGCACATCTGGCCGATGCTTCACGACATTCCAGTCAAAGCAGCCATCATTCTGAAAACCTTCGCGTTGGAAAAGACTTTGGAAAAGCCATCGCAAATATCGGTAGTCTGGCTCTTCATCAAACTCCAAGTTGCGAGTATACGTGAGATAGGCCGCAAACTCCTCGGGCATTCCTTGACAAAGTTCGGCAAAGGTCATGCTTAACTTCTTTTCCATAATGGCGGTGTACTTGTCAACCTTGCCATCCGCCTTGATGCCCTGCCAAGGCAATGAACCTTTCAAGAAATAGACTAACACAAAGCCAATCGCCTCAAGATCATCTCTGCGGCTTTGCTCAAGGCCCAAATGGGCATTCAGCGAAGCATAGCGTGCTGTACCTGTGAGGTTCTTATTTTCTCGGTAAGGTCCGTGTACAAGGGTATCTGGGTTTCTGTACTTTTTGGCAAGGCCGAAGTCGATAATGTACACAATGTTCGACCTTTGTCCACGACCTATGAGAAAATTGTCTGGCTTAATGTCACGGTGAATGTAGTGGCGGCTGTGAAAGTACTCGATCCGTAGGAGAAGCTGGTCTGCCAGCATCAGTGTGGACTTCAAGGACAACTTCCGGCGGCAAAGGTTGAAAACATCCTCCAAGGAAGGGCCCATGAGTTCCATAGCCATCACTGCATAATCGGTTTCTACTCCAAAGTAGTAGACCTCGGCAACCCCAGGGGAACCCTGCAGGAGCTTCAAGAGTTTGGCTTCATAAATCAGTTGAGGATGCTTTGTATCCTTCACCTCAAGCTTCAGGGCAACCTCACGGTCGCAATTTTTTGTATCTTTCGCGATGTAAATCTGACCAAAGGATCCAGCTCCAAGCATCTTCGTCAGTAGGAAGCGACCTCCAATAGTTCTGCCTTCCTGGCCCATCTCCACAGCATTGGTGGGGCATTCGGCGCATATGCACACGCATGTTTGTCTACAGAGTCTGCACCTATTAGAATTAGGTGATTGCTAAAAACTGCAAATGCGTTGTGTAGTCAAAAGCCTTCCCATATCCCTTGTTCTCATTTCTGTAATTTTACAGTGCTAGTCAAGATTCATTCGCATAACATCCTTCCTGTTGTCGCTTGCGAACTGTAAATTGCTGTAAAACTAATGCAAGACTTCCAGGTTTTGCGGGAACCGACACCAACTCTGCTCTTTTTGTCAAAGCTCTTGCATGAACTCGACAAAAGCCCAGCAAAATGGGTCCGGTCTTGGCCTTCTCTGTTTGCGCTCCAGTTTGTCAAGCTTTGTTCTTTGCGCAGCCTAGCAGTGGCTGAGGCCACACAAGCTCATCAGTCGGAGGCATTGACAAGACTCTCTTCGTGGAGTGCGGACTGCCTGTTCTCTCGGTTTCTCAGCTTCACCCCCATACTATATACATGTTTTGCCCCACCTCTGCAGCGCTTTCATACTTGAGCTTGGAGCGCATGGCCACCTGCACCTACAGGGGGTGCAAACTGACCTTTATAATGCATTCGGCATCAAACCAAGCCATCCCAAGCGAAGTCTTGACTAACGAATCATAGTTGTCGGCAAGTGAACACAACCTCTGCAATCCCAGGTTCTGATCGGTTGGGCCAAGAGAATCTGCATTGAATCCAACATTTGATACAGGGAGCTGAACTCTGTGTGGATGCCCTTTTGCTGGCTTGTCAGGCAGGTACAATGAGGAACCAACCATCCAAAAAAATGTCCGCCTCGGGGCGCTGCATAAACTTGTTCCAAAATTCCGGATTCCTGGTGTGAAAGGATGGCGCCGCTAAGAGGAGAAGTGCCCAAAAGTGAAGCACAGCGTAGTACACACAAAAGTTGGGGACCGCAATCGTTGTTCTACTTACAATCGTAAGTCAGCTGTGGATGCGAAGCTTGTGATACTCATGTTGGAGCCAAAAAGGAGAAGCAATGAAAAATAGCGAAAGAATCAAAGAATCCTAGAACTGCGAGAGATCTGTCTTGAATGGGAAAACCACTTGGACTCCAAACAAGACACCTTACTGTACTATCCCAAGAGTATTCTTCACGGAAACATAGTAAAATTATATGTTCGCCCAATTTTAAAGTGCTTGAAAGTCTGAGTGCAATACCTTCTTGTTGTTTGTCTTTCAAGACTGATATTGATAATACCACCAGACAATGTTCAAAGGACGAATCCAAAAACACCAGAATCTGAACAATGGATCAGGCACCATACCTTTCATGGGTCGGAATAATCCAAAGGTTTGCACATGTTCTGTTTTGATTCCGGTTTGCTTCACCTTGGTACTGACAAATCCCTTCCAAAGGAACTGTTGGAAACCTGTTTGGCTTGCTCGCATTCACATGTCCCTTCTCATCATCAGCGATTGGATCCAAACCTTTCAGCGACGATCACACTGTGGAAGTTCCTCCGATTGATATGAAAGGAAACCTGATTATAGTTATAGCAAGGCAGCACACTGGTGCGTCTCCTGACATCCTTTGCCATGGCAGCACAATGGGCTGCAAAGAACTACAATGTAAATGTATATACTCACGTTGCCCTGTTCATGTCACTTTTTGCAAATCTCGTTTTCCCTACTCAACACTTGGCCAGGTTCAATGCCCCAATGAAAATGGAAATGGAATGCAAATGGAATCCAATCTTGTTTTGTTCCAAAACGACTATTTTGGTTCCGTTTTCTGACTTGCATCTCTTGGTCCAGAAAATCACACCTTCGGCTCGCTGGACTGGCTCCAAATACACGGGTGTCCGTCGAAACCGCAACCGCCTGACTCTGTAAGTAGAAAAAGTAGAAGTGTTTGCCGCAAACAAAGTGATCTTTCCCGAAAGCACGACAGGTCATCCGCATGGCCTAAAGAGCCGCTTCAGGTGTGGTTGTTCAGGATGGCTTTGGGTCAGACACAAAACCCTTCACACAGAGATCTTCAGGAGCGAAGTTTCGACCCACATGCATTTGATTCATTCTTCCAGATGCATACTCCATTTTGATAAGTTTGCTGCTCTGTTGCAGCAAGCCAACCAATGGTAGAAAAATGAAACAATTCTACCCCATGTTTCATTCGTTTGGTTTGACGGAATTTCGTAGAGAAAACCTGCAATTTCGTCAACAAAAGTACCAAGAGGTCACTGCAATGGCCAGCATGGAACTTGCTGAGTCCAAATTTGTACACATCGACTCCTCCAGGTTCATCTGTGTGTGGTTCCGTTCAGCAGGCTGACGACTTGCAGCATCTTTTTGTTGTTTGGCAAAACATGGCAAAACACGTTGCACAAGAAAGGAACACTGAACATGAACTGAGCGCATTCCTCTTCAGGCAACGTCAAAGGTCAAAGGAGTGCCAGCCCTCACTCTGGCTTGGGGCCTGGCCTACGAAAACTCTACGAAGCCTCGCGAAAGACGCTTCAGGGTGGTGAGGGTGGGCCGCGAAAGTGCTGGACCTGGAATGCACTTGGGTCATGAACACAACGCAAGCTAGAAGACATTCATGTGAAAACATGCCAAGTCCACAAGAAGCAACGCTTTGCTCGAAATGCTTGCGTTTTGGCCGACCTTAAACAGCTAACCTGCAGACCGCAATCTTGAGTTCCGGTCCACAACGCCTTACACAAAAATACACATTGAACATGAACTGAGTGCACTCTTTTTTAAACACGGGTGAACTGGCATTCCAGGTGAAAAGACCTCCCTCTCATTCAAGATCGAGTGGATAACCCAACTGGTCCTGTCGGCCGTTCGCCTTCTACCAGCACACCATCGACTACCCCACCAATCCTTCCTCAGTGGCCTTTGGTGGAAGCTTTTGTCGATACAGCCAATCAAACTGATTGCAAGTCTCCCTCTACTGAGCCACTTAGACAGTACCGATCAAGCCACACCGCCACATTTCGTAGTTGAAGGCTTCAGTGCAGGCAGCTACACGGGAGCTGTGGTGGCGCTAGCTGTCGGGCTGCCAACTCACTGCTCGATTAGGTGCTATACTATTGCCATGCCTCGTAGTGTCCTGGCTGCCCCAGTCTCCACAGCGGATCCTGACCATCGTCATTATTATTTGGTCCACGCTGAGGAAGATGCCTTGTGTGACTGGCGTCCTGACGTGACCGAACTGCAGATGCTACAACAAAGTCTACACATCACTTATGTCACTGAGTCTGCTCGATGGATGGGCAGCAGCAAGCACCAATATTGGCACTGGCTGTATGGTCGTCTACCTCTAGGCAAAGTCATTTTGGTGGATTTAAAACTAAGTCACTCGGAAGTTATCCCCACACGAGACCGCATGGCTGCACCTATGAGACTTGCCTCATGGATACGATTTGAAACGCTGATGCTCCGCGAAGACTGGGCAGGAGCCATAGACATGGTCGTTGCGAACATACACAGACCGGATCCTGATCTCCTTCACCTATTACAACAATGCGTTCCGGATCAGGGCATTAGCTTGATGGAGGAAGCCCAAACATTGCTCCTCCGCAATTTTCGAGTTGGCAAAGAAGAGAACAATGAATGTGCAAGATGGCTAACTGACATGGCTCGGACCATGCTCAAACCCATCCCGTTTCGAGAAGTCTTTGTCATCTTGGCTCTCTTTCTTCCTCAATTGTCCTTTACAGAAAGCGTCAAGGCCTCGCACCGTCTGTGGTCCAGCCCTGCTGTCCTGCAGCGCGAAACCTATGTACAAGTTACTCCAAGCTGCTGCACGAGTACCAGATTTGCTTTTCCACTTGGTCCCATGCTGCGGCTTTCTGCCTCCCTCACCTGCAACACATGGACTTTGATCACAGAGGTCATTTGATGAAG